TAGACTCGCTGAGTACCGGCCTTTCATGTTTACTCTGTGCTGTTGTTGTGCTTTATATCTCCATGCACCTTGGCACTCTACACAAGTTTTCTTATACACGCATTTTTCTGGTAATCACACACACACACACACACACACACACACATGACTTGGCGGGATTCCTGGGCCCTCCTGATATACCCGGCCCTACTCCCTACTCGCGATGCCACATGCTACCGTGATGGCGCTGGATCGCGGCGGAACCGCCGCGGCTGGGGTGAGCAGAAAAGGACAAGTGTTTTGCGCCGCCCCCCCCACGCGGATATAAGGGAAAAGGGACAAAAGTGCGTGCACCAGAAATCCGTATCGCACTGGTAGGGGACGTGGGCCAGTGCGAGGTTGAGAGACACTCTGGATCAATAACGACAATAATGATAATGTGCCTGAATATCACACGGTGCAGATCGATCTGTTGGACGGACCACACGCCGGGTTGGAACACGATTCGCCGTTGCCGTGTGGGGAATGGTGTGGCCATATCAGTAATCCATATGATGATCATGAGAGGGAAATGGGTTAATCACTTTCCGCCCATCACCCAACAAGGGACTGCGGAGTGGACAAACCTTTCTTTTTGGTTTTTTCCTTTTTGTGTTTTTTCCCTTCCGTCCCCCACATGTTACTCGCAGGATGTATGTATCAAAAGACCTGCATGTCACAGACCAGGTTGTGGCCGGGGATAGGGAGACACTGACTACCGTAGTGAGGACTAGAGGACCAAGACCAAGCCCTATGCAGAGTGCCCAAACTCCCTTGGCAAGCCATGAAGAGGCAGTGTGGACTTGGGGGAGGGGGCAACAACGGCTAAAGTTTGTTATGGCAGAACGCAGGGTCTGCGGTTCATCTGTGGTGGCGACCCGGTACAACACTTGGGGGGGGGGGCGCATACGATAATCTAAGTGTACATGCAGGCCAATGTACGCTTTGTTTGCAGACAGTGTTGACTGTTGAGTGGAGTGCATCGCGGACGGGTCCAGCAATACTAGTACAAGTGAGTAGAAAAAACAAGCAAAGACTATTGTTGGCCGGGACAGCAGTGGCAGCGTGGGGCCATCTCCTCTCCTCTTACTGTACACGAGGACTAAGTGGCTCCCAGGGTGTACATACTCTACTGTATGTAGGGCATCTTAGCGCACAAGAACAGTGACCTGGGCAGCAAGAATTTGCCTACTACCGTTCCGGTACTGAGCAGATACGCAGTAGAGTAAGAGCGGCAGCGGCTTAACCAGACAACAAAACATGCCTGCGGCCTATCCGGCCCGCATCCTTAGCCGTCGAAAAGCCGTGACTGTTGACCAAAGGACGTTAGAAAGCTTCAAACTCTGATGTTTGTTTCTCATGGTCAAATGATACCGAAACCTT